GATGTGGTCGTCCTTAGTAGCTACGGCTCGCTCGACGTTCTTCGCATCTTGTTTATATTCCCAAAAATGTTCAATTATGGCCTTCACCTGCTGGCTAGCCTGAAAAATGAGGAATATTAGAGAACGACCAAAAGGGTGCGAGGAATACTTGGGAAAGTGTTAAACCTACCACTAGGTTGTTTTGGATAGTGCTCATCAGAAGCTGATTGTCCGAGTAACCTTTGTACACGCTCATATTGGCGTCAAATTGAAGCTTCCCCGCGATGGCAAATGCCACTTCGGGGGATTGGAGGATAGAGTTGGTTTCTAGAATAGGGCGGTCGCTCCTGGTCTTGGCCCGAGCAACCCACTCGCCCAAGACAGACGGGCCTGGGGTGGGGGCANAGATGTGATACCTAACCCTAAAGGATTGGATATTCTCATCAGTCACTTGGATTCTCCTCATCTTGTGGGTAGTCCTAGCCCTAACAGACGTCTCCCCCCTAGTTCTACTAGTTCTAGTCATTGGTGGGTGCTAAAAGAATGAAATGTAGAGGAAATGAAGGGAGAAAAAGCTCAAGTGAAAGTACTTACAGGAAGGTAGTCTTCAAAGAGAGAACTCGAAGGACGAAGGGAACTCGGAGGAGAACAGAGGAGCACTCGGGGTCTGATTGCTGAAGAGAGGTTGAGGATACAAAAGTTCTGAGAAGGTATGAAAACCTCCTATTTATACTACCTCACAGGGAGCGAGAATTGAAAAATTGGGTCATCGTTAGGGCATTTGAAAAGGGCGGCACCAGACGTGCAAGTAACCGTCGCTATTAATGAGACGTGATGATAGAGCCCCCAATCTCTTTACGCCACTTGTCTTACACTGCGAAAAGGATGGCGACTGAGGGACAGTTGGCGGGACTCTAGGTGGCTCTACAGTCCCCAGGTTGACACATGGCATAATGAAGCCGTTGGGATATCCAAAGGGTGTCGAGAAGGTAAGCCGAGGTATGGTAACATGGAGCAGCCGAGTACAACAGCTGTCATCGTATTTAATGCGATGTGACCCCCCATTTATGGCAGAATGAGTTATAGTAACAAGGCAAATAAATGCGTGTCTGCCAGCGCCTGCCCTCTGGGAGTCTAAGCCTACTGTCATGATAGTTAAGCATTAATGGCTGATGTGCCAAGACGACATGATCGGCTCTCCCAAGAAACTGTTCCTCCCGAGTATTCAATGCTGAGTTGATGTCGGATGCCGATCTAGGGGGATTTGGGTACTCGGGGAGTGGCATAAATGCTTGGCATTTGACCGAGCATTTACCCCATTTTTCTAGTATTCAATAGGAGGAGACGTGAGTAGAAAACACTTATTGCACGAGAAATGATGTGTCAGATGTAAGATGTCCAGATGAGACTGGAGATTTTTAACAATCATTAATAATTCAAGTATAAATACTCTTTAGAAAATTGGACAAAGGTACGCAAACTTGAACCAAAAAAAATAGTTCATTGAGCAAAACCCTTCGACCTTATACTGACTTAAGCTTTGGAGGGGATTAGCCGGACGCTCAACTGACCCCTTTTTTTCTGACCCTGTTGTTTCAGGTTCACCAACTTAGAGATCGCTGTCTTATACTATTGCAGGAATTATCTCGTGCACCTTTATATTTTTATTGTCTAGTAACATAGCTCGGATTTGTTCGAAAAAAACAAAACAAAAAAAAAAAGAACAAAAGAATTTAGCTGTTGGCTGGTAATTGATTCTTTGTTGTCCTTACTCTTGTCTCGCACGACTTGAGAACCTCATAAATTGTGTGTATAAAATCGAATATATGCTGTAGGGAATGATCAGAGGATTGACTTGGTGCAATTGATCCTTTATTTTGCAGTATTTTGTGGGGTACGTAGCTGAGAGCTGTCATATGTCCAACAGAACATCTGAGATGTGAATTGAATTATCAAGTGTTTTAATTCTATGATTTTATCAAGTGGTTGACCAAACTTGCACGCAACTATTTTTTTTTTAATTAATGAACATACAAAAATAATATATATATATATATATTTTTTATTCAACATTATATTACAATAGTAAAAATATATGTATATTTGACTTTTTAAGCGTCCACATAAGCAGTACGTCACGGCAACTAATAAACTCATACAAAAGAAAGATGTTGGGTGCGCATTTGATGAGTTGGGTGTAAAGCTTCCTCTGGGTCTATACGTACACCTCCACCTCATGGTGGATAACCCAACAAAGCCTACATCACATGTATTTGGGCGTGATTAACGTTGAAAGACTGCCTGGTGTAGAAAACAGATTCCTTCGCTCTCCAACTGTTCGTACTAGTAACATTATTTGGAAATTATTTTTTGAAAGAGTTTAAAAAAAATATCTTTTGTTTGTCAAGGAATTGGATTTTGCTACCTCCTGGCTTCGTCGGTCCTTATAATTAGGGGTGTCAATTTTTTTCATTAACACAAATTCGATTCGAATTAAATTTGATATGAACTCGAAAATAATATAATTAGTTGAAATGAGTAATAAATTGATCAAATTAAAGTTCGACACGAATAACAAAATTAATGGGTATTGTAAATAGAAAATAATTATATAACGAGTATTGTAGATAAAAAATAAGAATTTTTTAATTTTTTAAATAGTATTATATTTGTCGTTGTCAAATTAAATAATTTTTTATTAATACAAATATTAACACGAACTTGACACGTACCAAAAAATACGACACAAAAATATTATGATAAAAAATAACACGATACGTAAGTGAGAGAACACGACATGATTGATTGCCCCTACTAATAATTGTGTCCACCCACCTAATAATTAGCTGCCGTAATTCCGTGGACTTGGAACATCTTTGGAGCTACTAGCCAGCTAGTTCCATGACCATCCTACTCTCTGTTTACCCATCTTTCAAAATTAGAAACATATCAGCTTCGCCAGGGAAAATGAAGATGTGCAGTAAAATGCAATGCAATGCAATGATTTGTAGAGTATCTATCATAGGTTGAGTGGAAGTACCTACCCCTATTTGAGCAGAACTGGCGTGTTTCTTAATGTTAGACACCCACTACTACAGCAAAACTTGCTCAGGAAAAAAAAAAAAAAGACAAGATGATAATCTTTCATATAAGAGAAAAATTATGTAGAGTACTTTACTTGGACATCTATGTTTCCAACCAAATCTAGTGGTCTTTGTCCAATCCGAAAAAGTAAATCAGACGGGACATAAAACTTACATACCATACCATTCATTCAAGCGAGGCAATATTGCGCACATATTAGGTTCATTTAGCTAGAATCTCTATTGATAGCTGAAAACATCTTAGAAACTTTAAATGCTTAGCTGGCCTAGAACAGAGTCAGAGTGGCATATAGCACATGCCCAATCTTCTCCAGTCCACTCCCCTCCCCTCCGCTCCACTCCCATCACAATTATTTACAAGTGCAGGGCTTTGACTTTCTTAACTGGCTTAGTCAATTGGAAGACAGGGCCTGCACAGTTTCCGAACCCCTCTCCTCAAACTTAGCCTATGCACAANATAATTCAAGTATAAATACTCTTTAGAAAATTGGACAAAGGTACGCAAACTTGAACCAAAAAAAATAGTTCATTGAGCAAAACCCTTCGACCTTATACTGACTTAAGCTTTGGAGGGGATTAGCCAGACGCTCAACTGACCCCTTTTTTTCTGACCCTGTTGTTTCAGGTTCACCAACTTAGAGATCGCTGTCTTATACTATTGCAGAAATTATCTCGTGCACCTTTATATTTTTATTGTCTAGTAACATAGCTCGGATTTGTTCGAAAAAAACAAAACAAAAAAAAAAAGAACAAAAGAATTTAGCTGTTGGCTGGTAATTGATTCTTTGTTGTCCTTACTCTTGTCTCGCACGACTTGAGAACCTCATAAATTGTGTGTATAAAATCGAATATATGCTGTAGGGAATGATCAGAGGATTGACTTGGTGCAATTGATCCTTTATTTTGCAGTATTTTGTGGGGTACGTAGCTGAGAGCTGTCATATGTCCAACAGAACATCTGAGATGTGAATTGAATTATCAAGTGTTTTAACTCTATGATTTTATCAAGTGGTTGACCAAACTTGCACGCAACTATTTTTTTTTTTAATTAATGAACATACAAAAATAATATATATATATATATTTTATTCAACATTATATTACAATAGTAAAAATATATGTATATTTGACTTTTTAAGCGTCCACATAAGTAGTACANAGTAAAAATATATGTATATTTGACTTTTTAAGCGTCCACATAAGCAGTACGTCACGGCAACTAATAAACTCATACAAAAGAAAGATGTTGGGTGCGCATTTGATGAGTTGGGTGTAAAGCTTCCTCTGGGTCTATACGTACACCTCCACCTCATGGTGGATAACCCAACAAAGCCTACATCACATGTATTTGGGCGTGATTAACGTTGAAAGACTGCCTGGTGTAGAAAACAGATTCCTTCGCTCTCCAACTGTTCGTACTAGTAACATTATTTGGAAATTATTTTTTGAAAGAGTTTAAAAAAAATATCTTTTGTTTGTCAAGGAATTGGATTTTGCTACCTCCTGGCTTCGTCGGTCCTAATAATTAGGGGTGTCAATTTTTTTTATTAACACAAATTCGATTCGAATTAAATTTGATATGAACTCGAAAATAATATAATTAGTTGAAACGAGTAATAAATTGATCAAATTAAAGTTTGACACGAATAACAAGATTAATGTGTATTGTAAATAGAAAATAATTATATAACGAGTATTGTAGATAAAAAATAAGAATTTTTTAATTTTTTAAATAGTATTATATTTGTCGTTGTCAAATTAAATAATTTTTTATTAATACAAATATTAACACGAACTTGACACGTACCAAAAAATACGACACAAAAATATTATGATAAAAAATAACACGATACAAAAGTGAGAGAACACGACATGATTGATTGCCCCTACTAATAATTGTGTCCACCCACCTAATAATTAGCTGCCGTAATTCCGTGGACTTGGAACATCTTTGGAGCTACTAGCCAGCTAGTTCCATGACCATCCTACTCTCTGTTTACCCATCTTTCAAAATTAGAAACATATCAGCTTCGCCAGGGAAAATGAAGATGTGCAGTAAAATGCAATGCAATGCAATGATTTGTNTCAAAATTGTAATAATGAACTATACCGAACTCCAGAACTCCAGGAGTGCCTTCCTTCCTGGTAATAATGAACTCTTGCATAAATATGCCTTCAATTCATTCCAATAATAAATAAACAAATATATAATCTTGCTTTAGCGACATTCAAAGTTTAATAAGTTTTGAGTAAGATAAACTTTTGCATGGATACGTACCTTTATCAGCCCTCCCAAACAGTGAATGTCAATTCCACGTGGCAAGACACCTTTATTCAGTTGGTTCCGAACATACTCTTCCTGACTATTCTCAGCATTTATTCGGAATATTCCTTCTTCCTGCACCAAAAAATAAATAAATAAATAAACTAAAAAATAAACACAAAGTAATAGTCAACATAAACAGTCAGCACAAGTTATAAGTTACGAGTATTAAAAAAAAAAAACCTGAAGGCCTCCCTCTAAATACAAACGCTTTTGCATCATAAGAAGAACTGTTGGCACACTATTCCCTCTTTCATCAAAGGAACACTGCATTGACTTGGCAGAAACTCCAAACACGCTAACGCTGGACAAAAAAAAAAAACAAATATATATTAGGCTTGCCTAGTAATAAAAGGGACATTGGAATCATGACGGTGGGATCAGCGGCAATCTCTCGTAAAACAAACTGCAGATGGCTTCTTCTCAGTCACCGAGTAGAACAGAGTATAAAAGAGTGTACACAAATCCACAATGAAAAGTCAGTTTGTTCTGCATTCTGCTTGAAGAAAGATAAATAAAATCACATACAATACCTATTCAATGAGAATTAAAAAAAAACATGCATCCTTTATGATGGGACATTTTTGGAAAAAGATAAATCGGGGGACACGTGTCTTCACCACCGAGGAATATTTGTCTATCTCTGGGTCAAGAGTTTTTGCTGAGCCGAGGACACGTGTGTTCTCGGCTCGGCAAAAACCCTTGACCCTTTTTGTACGCTGGATCCCACCTCTCTTTTGTTTATGCAAAAGCTAATGATTGACAGATGGCTAGCCTAGGCCAAGCTAGGCTAATCATCATGAAGACACTCTGCTCAATGATGTCAGGGGACGCAGGAATGCAGAACATGCAACCAAGGAGAGGAGGACGCATGGAATTTGATATCAAATCAGTAGCAAAAAAACCTGGGTACCCCTGCTGACACACGACTGGAGCAAGTAAGCAATTTAATGAATCCTCCTCCTGATGAGACAACAATTAAGGCATGAGAGCTGAGAAGTGAAGTGCATTAAAGACCCCCATGCCTGGGCATTTAATGCATCCTCGTCGAGAAGGGGGAATTGAATTATCAGTAGACCAAGGAGTGAGCTTTAAATCATTGGCATCCCGATCAGTTAAAGCACAGTCCATCCCCCATAAAAGTGAGAGGCACACTGCTTCATCTCTAACAAATATCTGTTGAATGGACTGTTAGCAATCATGAGCTTTTGAAAGTATAAATAGTTCTCAAAAACCATTGAAAAGGTATGCAAGAACTTCTAAAAAATAACTACAGTGCTTTCTCCTTCCCATCTCTCAAAGAACTAATTTGATCGTCGGAGGGGATACGCCAGAGAGTACTCTGACACCCTTCTAACCTGTTTTTTTGTGTCATAGGATCCCCTCACAGTCTTCCAGGACCGGTCAGGCGACCCAACAAATAATTCATCACCAGTCCTTAGGGCCCCTTTGTCTCTCTCAACCTACTTCTTGTTGCCAAAACCCACTTTTGGATGGGTCAAATCTCTACCAAGGGCGATCAAAAATCCTAAAAGCAAACCCTTCGTTCCGTCGAAATTATTATCTTCTCAAACCACATTTCATCGTGGGAGAGATCTGTTCCTACTTCTACTATTGTGCAAAAATCAGCACCCACAATCTGGCGTCGTCTGTGAAAAACGATTAATTTTTCCAAAGAACAGTGACCATGGTGAATACTCGATAGAAAGGAAGGGGGTCCCCAGCAAAAGAACCTCGATTTGCAAACTCCTTCTAGTTCCGAAACGAAGGATCAAGTTGATGGTGTAGACAGGAATATCTCCATTCAATCGAGGGGGCATACCCGCCAAACCAGTATGAGCATTAGATCAGGAGGATCCGCCCTATTGGTCCGTCAACTGGCAAAAATGATCGAGGAGAAGTTTGGGGGTCGATTACGGCAGTTAGAAGAGGACAACGTGAATGTCCTCAGCCATCTAAATGAATTTGCGGCTTTCGGCGAAGGATCCAGGGGCTCATTCCGTTCCCAAGAACCCTCCATCAGGGAAGTGGAAACAGAAGACTTGCGGAATCACCTGAACTATAAAGCAGAAAGTTCCAAGGCTCCAAAGCGTCCGAGGGCCAAAATGCATCCCCTAGATGTCCAGACCAAGAAGGCAAGGCCTTTGACTTGGGACGACCTCCGTCGGGGACTGACCGGGCGAGGGGGCATGGAGGAGTCTGAGGGGTCAACCCTCTCCACTCGGCACCTAGGAAGGAGGTATCCCGTTAGCCCGCACAGGGACCTTAGAAGGGTTCCCCCCGAGTTGGTAACCGACCTCAGAACTCAGCTAGATGCCAAGAGGAGTAAAGTCATTCAGGAAGATGACACCGATGACGAAACCATACAATTCCCCTTTACCAGGGACATTCAGGAGATGGAGGTGCCCAAGAAGCTTATAGTACCAAGGTTCAAAACTTATGACGGACGATCTGATCCCAAAACTCACCTCAGACAGNCCAGGGACATTCAGGAGATGGAGGTGCCCAAGAAGCTTATAGTGCCAAGGTTCAAAACTTATGACAGACGATCTGATCCCAAAACTCACCTCAAACAATATAAGCAAATGATGTCCCTTTACCATTCAAACCATCAGCTCTTGTGTCGGGTGTTCTCCATGAGTTTGGGAGACTCCACTATGAAATGGTTCAAAACTCTCCCTCCCAATGGCATCAGATCATGGAAGGAGTTAACCAAGTAGTTCTCCGCTCGATTTGTTATAAGAAGTAAGCGACCTAAGGATGTTGGGTCTTTACTAACCCTTAGACGGAAGGAAGGGGAAACTCTCCACCAATATGCCACGCGTTATTGGGAGGAGGTCAATGAGATTGAGGAATGCTCAGAAGTCATGGCAACCGCCTCTTTCTAGCCGGCCTGGCAAGAGATACAGATCTGTATCGGTCATTAACCAAGAAGACCCCATCAGACATGAGTGAATTGATAGCCCGAATAAATAAGTATTCTTGGATCGAGGATGAAATGGGAGGGGGTAGAGGTAGGGCCCCTACCCCCAGGAAGAAAGACAGGGGGAAGGAGGACGCCTCTCGGAAGGGATTGATACCCCCCTCCATAAGCTTTTTTAAAGGAGTCCACACAGTATTTAAAGAGCCTATTTACAGGCTGCTCTAGAAGATCCGGAGTGAGCCACTCTTCAAATGGCCACCTAAAATGTAGAGTGATCCGTCCACCCAGAATCAGAATGTTAGGTGCTCCTATCATCGAGATGTTGGGCATCGTACTGAAGATTGTAGGGTGTACAAATATTTTCTGGAAAAGTTGGTCCAGGACGGGCACCTCAAGGAATACATTGAGCCAAAATTTGAAGAAGTTCTGGCCCCCAATAACCCGGCTGTTATCTAGGACAACGTAATCGACGTGATTCACATATGTCCACTAGAGCATCCAACATCCAGGCACCTTGAGTCCAATCTCAAAAAGGTGGCATTCACAAGGAAAGTGGCTGAAGAAGAGGGGGGCTAGCCCAACAGGAAGGCTCGGATTGGTGAGCCCAACATTGTATTATCTGATGCGGATCTTGTAGGCATAGTTACCCCCATAACAACGCCTTGATATTGACACTGAAGGTTGACAACTTTGATGTTAAGAGAGTACTGGTAGACTCCAGGAGTTCTTCTGAAGTGATGTACTCCGAAANGGGAGGGGGTAGAGGTAGGGCCCCTACCCCCAGGAAGAAAGACAGGGGGAAGGAGGATGCCTCTCGGAAGGGATTGATACCCCCCTCCGTAAGCTCTTTTAAAGGAGTCCACACAGTATTTAAAGAGCCTATTTACAGGCTGCTCTAGATGATCCGGAGTGAGCCACTCTTCAAATGGCCACCTAAAATGTAAAGTGATCCGTCCACCCAGAATCAGAATGTCAGGTGCTCCTATCATCGAGATGTTGGGCATCGTACCGAAGATTGTAGGGTGTACAAATATTTTCTGGAAAAGTTGGTCCAGGACGGGCACCTCAAGGAATACATTGAGCCAAAATTTGAAGAAGTTCTGGCCCCCAATAACCCGGCTGTTATCTAGGACAACGTAATCGACGTGATTCACATATGTCCACTAGAGCATCCAACATCCAGGCACCTTGAGTCCAATCTCAAAAAGGTGGCATTCACAAGGAAAGTGGCTGAAGAAGAGGGGGGCTAGCCCAACAGGAAGGCTCGGATTGGTGAGCCCAACATTGTATTATCTGATGCGGATCTTGTAGGCATAGTTACCCCCATAACAACGCCTTGATATTGACACTGAAGGTTGACAACTTTGATGTTAAGAGAGTACTGGTAGACTCCAGGAGTTCTTCTGAAGTGATGTACTCCGAAATCTTGAAACGAATGGGACTTGGTCCTAAAGATCTCACTAAAGTCAGGACTCTCCTCATTAGATTTAACAGTTTATTTGCCCTACCGATGGGTAAAATCACGTTGTCAGTCATCACTGGCCCTATCATTATCAACACGGAGTTTGTTGTGATCGACACAGACTCAACTTACAACATTATCATGGGGCGAGCCTAGTTGCACGCACTGGGGCAGTGCATTCTACTTATCACCAGAAGCTGAAGTTTTCAACCCTGGAAGGGGTGAGGGAGATCCAAGGGGACCAAGCATCCGCCAAGAACTGTTTATATTCAACTGTCAGGGCATGGGTTTCCATTCAGGAAAAGAGGCAGGCCCCGGAGGAGATCCTGGATAAATAACAATCACAATCTGGGGCGTCCTGGAGTGGACGACCCCCGAACAGATCCAGCAGAATGATCGGTGAAAGACATTCGGAAAGTGCCCCTGATAGATGGGGAAGAGGAAATATACTTCTTAATTGGTTCCGTCATGCCTTCAATCGAACAAACCGAGATGATAGATTTTCTTAAACAAAATATAGATGTATTCGCCTGGAATGTGATAGAGATGAAGGGGGTGGACCCCAAAGTGATAACCCATAAGCTTTATGTTGATCCGACACACAAGCCAGTTAAGCAGAAGCCACGACGCATGACGCCACATCACGCCCAGGCGGTGAACAAGGAAGTTGATAAACTCCTAGAGGCCAACACCATCTAGGAGGTCCAGTTCCTAGAATGGTTGTCAAACACAGTCTGAGCAAAGAAAAAAGAGGAAAAATGACGTGTTTGCGTGGACTTCACTGATCTGAACAAGGTCTGCCCTAAAAACGACTTTCCACTCCCAAAGGTAGATCAGTTGGTGGATGCCACTGCAGGATATCAGCACATGGACTTCATGGACGCTAGG